CCAGCGGCCACGCCCGTGCTTGGGGGACGCAGGAGCCCCGCCGGCTCTGCTGCGCAAAGCTAAGGCTACTTAGCAGGCACTGGAAGTTATGTCTTACAGGACTCCCGCCGCTAGAGTACATTCACTCAGAGAATGTGATGATCAAAAGATAAGTCTTAGAAGTTTCCATTTTTAATCCAGCAGAAGGAGGGCAAGAGGTTAAGCATAAATCTGTTCCCCGGAGGAAGCAAGCATCTTGTTCCAGAGTCACTTGTGACCTCCTGTCACTCTTATCGCACTGGGCACCTGATATCCATGAAAGAGAAGTGAGCACTATCAACCTCACACATGAAAGACGATGCCGAGTTTGGGACTACTGATTCTTTTGAAAAAGACTCTTAGAAATGGTAACATCAAGTAACAGTTAAATGTACTTTAATTCCTTCAAACAGAAGGATATGTTGAAGGTACATCAGAGAAGTTATTTCATTAATTTCAGTCTCTTAAAAAAAAAAAGCATGGCTTCAAAATTCAGGAACAGTATCCAATAAACAAAGTACTATCGTTATGCACCAGTTTTAGAGTGTGTGGTACAAAGAGAAGCTTACAGATTCAAATGAATGGCATAAATGAGTGAGAAATCGATCCAGATAATGCTTGTTTACAGGGACAAAAACTATGTTGACACGTATGAATAAGTACACAGATAATCTCTTTAAAAAAAACAAACCTTTCTAACTGTATTTACACACACAGATGTATTTGCTTTCCTTTGGCACTAGAAATTACAGACAAAAGATTCCATTTTATAAAAATTAAACTTCAAACTTAAAATAACGTTTGAGTCATTTAAGTCATACAGCCCCAGCACAGTAGCTTCACCTTTATTAAATTGTCGCCAACTCTGTATTCTAACCCTGGAAATTCAGGCCACAAAGCCTGAATTCAGCTTCCACCTGTGACAAATTTCACTTGGCAAGATTAACTGGATGCGAGGAGCTCAAGCAGCTGTGGGGAATTAATGACATACAGACATGTTTAATAGGAATGAATCTCCCATTCTTATCCAAGGTGGATGTCTACCTTTAAATGCTCTTTATATGCATATACAAATTAAATCAAGTAAAAATGGACGCCCATAACATATATTCAGCCAAATTAGACATTAAGTGAACAGTCAGAGCACATGACAGCCATCTGTAGTATTTCTTCAGTGTTGCAGAGATGTGTTAATCCCTACTCATTTCCATTGCTAGGAAAAAAAAAAATTAAGATTACACTTAACAAATATGATTTATTCTTTTAGCACGTTAGTTTACTCTTTAGCCATTGCCAGGAGTAAACCTTAAGTTTCACAGGAAATTCAGTATTATCAGTACAGTAGCAAGAGTGTTTTGGCACCCTGTAAAATCCTAAAGAACGTGCAAGAAAAATCTCAGAAGTAGCATTTCATTATCCAGACTTCTCATTTCTTGTTCATGGTATTTGACTTTACAGAACCTGAAGCTTTGATTACTTTCCAAACAGTTTTTATAGGTTTTCTGCTAGTAGCCAACAGGGGTGTAACAACAATGGCACAGTAGTTTTCCTACAGCATTAAAGACTAGGAAAAAATTCTTTTCTTTGAAGAACTACAATCAATTAGGACTACATACAAATCAAGTAACGAGGCATCAGGGCAAGTAATAGCACATCGACCCTCTACCACAACAGGAAGTGGTTTTCAATCTTACAACAAAAAGGAATCAAATGAAAAAGAATCTAAAATTTATACACTTCATAGGTTTTGTTCCTTCTCTCTCTAGACGGTGAGAAACCATTACCAATTAACATTTCACTTTGCTCTGCAAGCAGGATCAGGGCAGCTTTCGTTGAGATGGAATAAAGTAAATGGTTGCCTTATTTTTGCATTGATCACATGCAGACTGGACGTCGTATTGTCTCCGATAACTGGATTGAATCCAAGCTGGACCAGACACTTACAGCATGTTTCCCCCACGCACGTTATTTGGGCATGTCTCAAATAGAGATTAATCTTGGTCTGCTAAGTGTATTCTTAAGCATAAAAAAAAGCTGAATTTGACTATAGCAAATTCTGTGAGGAAAAGGAATCAGATAATATAACAGCAAGTCTTCCCAGAAGACAGACTTTTCTACACATCCAAAGAGAACTAGCTGTTTGAATCTTAGATTAGCTGATACAACACTTTTTTAAATATTTCAAAAGCACAGCATGTTAAAACAACTTTCATTACACTTTGTGGAATACCAGTACCAACAACCTCTATGTGAAAGTGTTACAAGCTACTCAAATGCAGTCTCTTTAAAATGAAAAAGAGTACAGTATATCTAAAGCATATATACATGCTGCCACCAAGGAAAGAAAGCAGCGAAGTAGCAACTTTTTATACACGAGCTTCGCTAAGAATCTTGCTCTTGAAATAGCCCAAAAATTAGCTTGCATTTAAGATTTATTTTCAACTGAAAAGACTTACAAAAAGAGCCAATCTTATTATAAGACCCCTTGGTCTTTTTATTCTGAGCTTGCATGATCTTTTCATGCAAACCGATTTACTGGAGATACAGTACTTCAAGTTACTACTTAAAAAAAAATAAATCTAAGAATCAAGTGATTTTTCTTTTTGCAAAACATGAATATAAACCTCTGTCTTCACACAAGGCATATGCACCTACAGCCCTGTCTTACAGAGTTAGGTAATTCAAGAAATGGAGTGTGCAGTAGTAACTACCAAATGAAACATTTTACAAGTACTGAAATAGTGGAAACTAAATGAACTGATTATCAGTCCACGCAACCACAACGTTGCATTGCACTACCTAAATACTGACCAAATGCCCCCAAAAATGCCAAGAAACTACAACCAAGTTCAAAACAGGGTATTAAAACTGTTTCTTTCAGTGAAGACCAACCAGTCCCTTTGTGTACACATTTAGTTTTATTGTAACAAAGCAACTTGTACACTTTAACGTTTAAAACTGAGCATCTTTCTTTCCTTTCCAGTGAAACAAAAAAAAAGAATTTAAAAATAAACAAGAACAAAATTACAATAGAGAATGTCAATTCCAAATAAGATCCTACAGGTTCTGCTGATTCTCCATCAAGTGGCAGGGCTCAAAGTCATCATTAGGAGAAGATTTTATTTTAAAAGTGTCATCTTAAACTGCAAGGATGTTTGTTAAACATCACAATTAAACATGCCAAAGGAGAAGAAGCCATGTTGTCAAAATGCCCACTTAACCCACCCAAACATCTGAAACCCACCCCAGCTGACCTTCTATAACCCCATTTTTTTTTATTTTTTCTTTTTTTTAAACAAGAGAAAGTAGACAGATACATGTTGGTAAATGCTAACTGTCCATATTCACATAGAGACACAGTGTAATCTCTGAGCCCAATATACAGAGAAAGAAGGAAAAAAGCTAGATTCTATGCACTACTACACAGGGGCCTAGCACTCTTCAGCTTCCAGCAGAGTGAAGGGAGCAGAAGGTTTTCTTTTTTCCCACAGAACATTGTGTGTTGATTCCATAAACAGTTTTTGTTTTGAGACAGAAAGGGATAAAAATGGACTTGAAACAGAAACTGGTAGATTCTTTTCCACTGTATTCTGCTCAAGGTATTTCCCCCAAAATAAATTGTGAACCATGGTGTAGAGGAGAGAAAAAGAGACCTCAAGAGAACAAGGCGACTGAGCACAAGAAAAAAAAGACAGCAACTTGCTCCCAGGGACTGGAGAAAAATTAAAAAGGTAAAAAGGGGGTTTGGAATCCATCAGTGTTCAATTAGTCATCTTCTCCTTCATCCTCCTGTTGAAAGATAAGCAACAATTAAAAAAAATCTAATCACTAAGCTTCAGATAGCACGAACTTTCAAATGCAATAACCAGAATGTTTTACTACCCTACAGACTACAGCCCTACAATGTTACTCATAGCATGCTGTATGATGACCTCTTTCACTCTTCACTAGGAGTAGTAACACTTGCCATGAGTACCTACCTACATAGAAATCAGTTAATAACTGGACATCCCAATGAAAAAAACATCATGTTTGAAAAACTACCGTGACTTATAATCATTACAAACATTGACATAACTTTAACGTTTACAAAGTGAAGGGGTCATCTTTTTTCCCCTTGTTTTAAACTCTGAAGAGCAAAATGCTCCAACTTTCATGCTAAATTCTAGGTTACATAATAGAGCCCAGTACTCCAGTGCCCACAACAGCCCTCCTATCTCAATACAAGTAATTTTTCACTGCTGAAATTCAGACACACCACGCCCAATTATGAGAAACAAAGATATTCTAAACTTTAAGTTACCAACACCCTGAATGCTGTCCCTAGAATCCCACTTGCTACTAAAGGAAATTTCTAATTCCTGAACCCAACAGAGAGTCTTAGCTAAGCTGGCCATAAGCAGAAATAAACCAACAGGTGGGAGGATGACAGAGCTGGATGCATCAACAGAAGCTATTTACAAGTAAAGTGTTGCTAGAATGTTCACTAATTAAATAAGAATTTTGTTATGCTAATATCCTAGTTCTTCTAGAGCACTTCCCTTACAAGTTTACTAAAACTACTTATTTGCACTGTCTCTCATATAGACAAACATACTTACTACTACACTGAAACCACTCCACAAGTTAAGGTAGTCACAGTTCTGCTTCTCCCCTCCAAACACCTTGTCAGTGATTGTACAGAAAAGAACTATTTTACCTTTGTAACAAAGGCTCACTATTCTTACAGGATCCCTCTTATAAACTTCTTTTGATTCTTATACACCAGAGATGGAAGGGGTAAGGGGTAAGATTACTCACCTCTCCTTCCTCTCCCTCATCATCGTCTTCATCTTCCTCCCCCTCATCTTCATCTCCTTCTTCATCAATATCCTCCAATCCTTCTTCCTCTTCATCATCATCATCATCCTCCTCTCCCTCCCCCTCTTCATCATCCATATCAGGAACCTTAAAGACACATATGCAACATTAACTACAGTGATCAAATTCACTTTCACCTGCACAGTGCTATTATGGGCATGGATCAACAACTCAGCGCTATACCTACCAAGTAGTACTGTAGCGGATTTGGCCAGATGTCATCCTTGATGACTTCTCCTAGTTCATCAGCCCCTGCATCGGAGTGGTCAGTGAACCAGGTAAAGAAACTTTCTGGCTCTTCATGCTGCCTCTTCCTACTGGCTTTGTTCTGTGTCTGGCTTGAACGTTTTGTCAGATCCTGAAAACAAAGTTAAGAAGTTCCCTAAGAAGTGGTCTTTACATGGCTTTTCTTTTTTTTTTTGAATAAGCACCATTTAGAGATGTACTTGTCTAAACAACCACAAGAAGTCACTTACTACTCCCTCTTTCAGGGAAAAGCCTTGAAGAAACATTTGGAACACAAACGACTCACAGAAAAAGATACAACTCAGCCACTTGCATTTCTCATGAACATGGGAAAACAGTAAAACCACCTGTTTCTTTTAATGACCTCCACTGAAATACTGAAAATTCACAGGACCTTGCATTTGATTTATGCTTCCCTATCACAGGGAAGCACAAGTATGACAAGCGTTTAATGATATATCGGACTTAAAAGATCTCACAATGGCTAAATGCTACTCAAAGTAGCTGTAATTGTAGCTAAATGCTACGACTACTACATGCACACAATATAAGAAACACTCAGTCTCCACACCTCTAAGCTCTGTCTTTTAACTTGAGGTAAAGAACTGCCTAGCCTTCTTATCCTAAGATTTCCTGCTTTGAAGTCTTCAGGTCATTCTTTGTAGTAAGTCAAAAAAACTACACAAACCACGAAAACATATGGTCACAAGAACATACTTGAGTCCTGTATCTACCACCTTACCCCAGAAGTTTAGTAAGTTTGCAACAATCTGTTTGCTAAGTCTGAAAAGAAAACTACTATCCGCTATGTAAATCCATTCTTTCTTTAATCATATGGTAATTCCAAACTTCTAGTATTTGTTTTCTTGACAGAATCACAACATTTATAGGTTTAGACTGTTTAATGAAGAACAATACCAGAATTCACATTGATTTTGTGGTATGTTGTAAAGATCATTCGGCTAGTTTGTACTGGACTATAACTTTCTGTACAAGTGCAAAAGTTCTAGTGTGATTAAGCTTTCTTCTCAATCTGAGGGTGACAAAACAAGCAGCAACTTAACTGCAACTCTCAGTTCTACTTTTAAATACTCATTTCAAAATCTTCAGGATAACGTGAAAGCGCTCCCAACTTTTACAGAAACTAAGTACAGCAAATTAATTGTGTTTGAATACTGTCTGGATGAAAGACATGCCCACATTATTGCGTGGCTGCAACTTCTACAAAGACGTAGTGTCTGGAAATAAACAGAAAAAAATTTCACACACCCCTAATCTGACCCCCCCAAAACCGTGCTGTCCTCGGAATTCCTTATTTAATAGTTATCTTAAGAAAACAACAAAACACATAGAGTCTAGATCCACGCCAAAGAGAGACAAGCTAATGCACTTGTTAATCTCTCCATCTGGTGATACTTGTACTTTCACTGTTTTAATGGTGGTGCTCAATGAGCAAGAGAATTCACTACCTATCTCCATGTCAATAGGGTATTCCAAACCCTGCAAGACAGCCATGAACTATGTACATAGAGAGGCGGCAAGGGGGTTGAGAGGGGAAGAAAAGGGAGGACAAGGCAGTTTCAATACAAAAGAAAAAGAAAAAAAGGAAAAGCAACATAATTAAAGTGATGGTATCACACAGAGCAGCAATCATCTCTCCCAGATGCAGAGATACATACCTTCCCAGATTTCCATTTGATCTCAGTTGATTTTGAAGATGGGTCTCCACTTTCATTGAGGTGAAACTCTTTGGAGAGAACTTTATTTTCAAAGTATGGATTCTCATCAAAATACTGTAGAGTTGAAAGCAGAGAGTTAGAACCCGTATAATGTAAAGACACGTGCCAAGTCAAACCTCATATTAAATGGATAACTGAAGAGATTAAATTACAAACTACAACCCAATGTAGTTTAAATGTCATGCAATTACATTTAAAAAAAACTAGAAAAATCACAAGTGAAGGAATTACTTAAAGTACTTACAAAATCTATTCTGTAACCTGATTTGATGTCTTCAAATTCTGTCACCTCGACTCTGGTCAAATAATGCAGTGCTTCCTCATCTTCTTCTCCCAGCAGTGCAGATACTAAGACAGAATTAGGAATCCCACATTAACAAAGCTATTAAATGTTTCATGCAGATGAAATACAGGAAACTGATAATAAGAGATGAAAAGCAACAGATCTGTCCAAGCCAACTTCTTGTGGCCCATTTTTTTTCAAGTCACCAGCCAACAAACTATTGGCACTTGTGTGATTTGCATTTGCTGAGGTGAAAACATTACATTTGCCTGTTGTAGTTCAACATTAAAAAGCAGCAAGAGCTACCTGCATACATCTACCCTTGTCTCTGAAACACATTTTCACACATGTAGTTTGCCCAATCTAAGCAGTCTACAAACTTGTTTTGTCCTCTCAGAAAATCTATTGCTAAGATCCCTAAGGAGCTTGCCTCCAATTAAGAAAAAAAAACAACAAACAAACTAGAATCCTTTTTTTTTTTCCCCTTTAAAGGGCCCAATTCACTAAGAAAAGTAGGAAACCTGTCCTTTAAAATGCAGAAAGAAAACCAACATGGGATTTTAGTGAACAAGATGTTCCTTTGGTCAACAAATGCAAGAAATAAAAAGTTTATAAAATGCACTCTAGGACAAAAAGGAAGTGTTTGCATATGAAGCAGGCTTCCGTTTAAACATATGCCCAACAACAATTCTAGAAAACCCTCAGAGCTGCAAGACACTCACACAGCAAGCAAGCAAACACTGAATTTACAGGAAAAAAAAAAAAGGGCTATTAAGAACTTACCTTGTGGGTGGTTGACAAATGTTGTTACCCAGAAATTTGGGATTTTGGCGATCAATTCTGACCTCTTCTGGAAGAATGGTTGGCGGAGTTTATTGTATTTCTGTTCTACTTTCAAAATTTCCTCACTGGCTTGTTCATTCAGTCTGTAATAGAAAGAGCCACATTAACCACAGGTGACAGAATTGAAATTTAAAGACGCGTCATCAGTAGTTAGCTAAAAAACAAATGCGTCTGATTAGACTAGTCTGCCATATTCAACAAATGAGGTATCTCAAACAAAAATCTGAGGCCCAAACCTCTAACGACAATATTAAGAAACACACTACCAGAAGCAATCTCACTGATTTTAATGAAACGTTCTTAACACATTGTATGTTTTGCAGCATTACACGAGGGACAGACCCTTATTTATGCAAAGCAAAGTAGTATTTACCTCTTAAACATTTTGTTTGCAAAAGACCTGAAGATGGATAACACCTATCACCTGCTCTTTATAACTTCTGGTCAGGCAAGCAAGCTACAGCAAAGCAATTTCGTACCCCACACAAGTAAAATCTTAAGACGTAACATTTAACTGGTTTTGTAAAAAGGCAGAGCCCTGATACTGCAACAGCTTCACATGGCCAGAGCCTCAGTAGTCACCTGCAGTCTTTGTAGGACAGTGTGCATGGAGATGGAGATAAGATCCAGGCAAATACTGACACAGAGCCCACAGTTTCAGGATATGAAACTCATGTTTCAGTGACACTTTCTACATATTATTCTACAAGCACGTGAATATATAATAAAAAAAATTATAATAAAAGCTAACTTTTCAATCAAGTTTTTGGTTCTGCTTACAAACATGAAAATACTTTTGCGAAATAGCATAGACATTAACTTGAAGAAACAATAAAAAATAAATTTCTATTATCAAAACTATCACAATTAATTTAAAATTTTAAACTCAAGTTCTACCTTTATAATTATACACAATTAAACAAGAAACCAGGATACTTCTTCCCATTTTTTTATCATACACAAATACCTCTTACAGCTAATCAAGTCAGAACACAAGTATATCTTGGCAGAGCTTAAAAGAGAGTGAGTACTACTGAGTGCTTACTTTACTAAATATTTTTATTTTTGAAAGTTACATTTTAATTTCTGCTAAAACATTTTAAAAGTTTGTTAATGTTTACCTGTCTATTTCATTCTGTACTTCATCAATGTGTTCAATTGCTTCCTGTTGCTCTTTTTCTGAAAAACAAATGAAAATGCATCAAAATCCCTTCATTCTCAAGTCTGACAAATCACCTGGGGTTTTTGCTTAAGACCTTTTCTAGTGATCTACTTTAGAAGTATGCAAATATTTCTATTAAATGTTGTAAGCGTTACTAGGCCTTAAACCTTCAGCTACTTCCAGGTGTGCTATGGCTGAAGTGCAGAGAAGTTTGACAAAACGGCACTCCGAGCGAGTTTACCCCTAGAAATCACAGCTCACGTTCCCCTACACAGTTTTACAAGCCAACTTAAATGCTAAGTCAGTCATGACAGATTCGTAACAGTTTATCTAAAAAGCTGTAAGCCATATTTGGCGAGACAAACACATTTGAAGGGACATTAAATAATTCAGAGAGGACCGAAATATCAATAGAAATAGCCTAAGTGGGAACGCATCACCTTCTAAAAACCGAAAAGAACGTTCGAAAGGACGGTTACGAGCAAAAAAAGTCGTCAAAGTCGCCGTTTGGCAGATATTTTCCAATCGGAACTTCCCCTCGGCAACGTCTGGCAAAGGTCTCGGTTACGGGAGGACTGTTTACCTATCGCGCTGGGAGATGAATGAACGGCAGCGGGAAGTCGCTGGAGCAGTGCAGCACGCTCACTCCTCCCCCGGTAAGTTTCCCGCACGGCTCAGCCCGCGGTAGGGGACAGCTCTCCCCGCTCCCCGGCCGCGCGGGAGATGAATGAACGGCAGCGGGAAGTCGCTGGAGCAGTGCAGCACGCTCACTCCTCCCCCGGTAAGTTTCCCGCACGGCTCAGCCCGCGGTAGGGGACAGCTCTCCCCGCTCCCCGGCCGCGCG